CTGAAGGTCATTTTTAATCTAAAAAAGAAATTATCAAGGACCAAAGGCACTTGACTTGGGCAGACAACAATCTTAACCTGGAGGTAGCTCAAGAGGTGAGAAAAAGCATCCTCAGCGTTGGAATGAGTTAGGCTTTTAGATGTTACTGCTAACTGAAGACATATGTGGTACTGCTGGAGTCTTCCCCACTTTGCACCAATATTTTGCAGTTTGATCACTAGCAAGAAAGATAAAGGCCATTGACAGCAGTGAGAGGTCAGTATGCTAATTGTACTTGTCTGAGGATAGTCAAACATTTGAAACTTATTTACCATACTAATGCTCCTCCCAATTGATGCTGATAGAGGTCTTCTGTGACCCTTAGCGAAATTTGGCTTTGTGTGTATAGACACTGAGATATTTATAGCATATATGTGTGGCATAAGGGAAATACTTCCAGGCTTTATTCTTCTATAATTTCCTTTTTTCCATACTGGAAAGGGAAGAGGGGAATTGTTTATTATCCTTTGGGAACACACTAATCTGCTGTTTCTCACCACAGCCTTACATTTACCTCTCTTTCCTGTTGACCTGCTGTTATGTCATTTTGTATTTCACTCTAAAATAGCCAATATAATTTAAAAGACTTAATGAAACTGACTTTCCAATATTAAAGCTTTCCTATGTAACTCTACAAGACAAGGAGTTAATTCTAAGTTTCAAAACATTTCATTTTGGCTTTCAGAGTCTGAGGTCTGAATTTGTTAGACTGCATCCATGCAAATGTCAATTCTGAGTTTTAATGCACAGCAGTTTGTATTTGTACAAATGTCATTTAAATCTATATTCACACATGCACAAGTTCTTTCTATATGGCTTTTATCAGGGTTTTATATTTTGAGAATGACAGAAAGTGTGAGGAAAATGTTTACATGAGTAACTACTCTTTATTTGTGTCAGAAATTGAGTAAGAAAGTTTTACACCCTGATCCCATATGAATCCACAGGGAAACAAGACAAACCCTCCATTTTCTTTAGATTCATTGCTTTTGACAGCTGAAGAACATAAATTTTGAAAAGTATACAAGGCTTATTCAAAATGAAACATTGGTATTTGAAGTGCATGCTATCTTTTTACAAAATATACAATCAACCAGCTAGGTTATAAACATATCTATCTAAGATCACAATCAATGCCTATTTAAAGAAGATTTTATAGTATCATTATGTCTAAGATCAGACATTTACAATAATTTTCTAGACTGACAATGGGCTTCCTAGGACATTTTGGTACTTGTTTTATTTTTTTTACATCTGTAAAGGAACATGCATATATAGCTCTGATAGATACATTATGTTTTTCTCACAACTTTATCAAAGTTAATGGAATAATTATGGTTATATAAAATATCCAGTGCCACACTAAATCCATATACTCATTTCTAAGACATAACTGTTAAATAGTTACTCTTTACCTTTCTTACCATACTCCTTGCCTGTATTCTTTAACAGAGATAGCTGTGGATACACGTGAAAGCTAGGTTAAATAAATAACTAAAAAATACAATTAGTACTAGTATGCTTTTAATTTTGGAAAACTTTTTTTTCCCAAAACTCCAAAGGTTTACCCGCAGGGCTGTTTGTTGGTATAGACAAGTTTGACCATCTTTTTATGGCACAGATTATTTTCCAAAGCCCCAGAATAAGGTGTGATGTTAAATTTTAGTTGTTTTCTAGATTGCTGTTTTTAGAAATTGTGTTGCAGAACAAAATTCTAATACCAGATTTAAATTGTGACACTGCTAATCTTTGCTCATCTTTATGCAATTTACAAAAAATGTTGGCATTTCAAGACTAGTACAGTGACTTAAAGGTCTGGGCATGACTTATTTTCAGGTTTGGTTTAGTTCTGCTAATGAAAGGGCTACTGTGTTTTGTATGTAGGTTTATAATTTCTGCTGATATAAAAAGAAGATGCGAAGCATGTATTTTTGAAGAGAAGTAGTGAAATAAAAGCTCAATGTTTCTTGACCTCCAGTGCTGAAAAGAACAGCCTGTTTTGTGTTTGAAGTTCTCTTCATTGTAGTGGCATGTTCCAAATATCCCATTCATTTAAATTACAGGAATAGAGTACTACGCACCACTGGGGTATACCAAACAAAGGTTTCTTTTCAATGGTCTATTTTTATGCTCTTTATAATTCTGTAGCGAGTATTTTAGGAAAACTACTATTAAGTAAATAGTTCTATAGTTATGAATTTTCAAGTAAGTTTTAGCTGTCTGGTTTGGCAGTCCAGTTTAAGAAAAAAAAAGATAGGCTTTGCAGTAACAGCTCATTAGACAGGAGGATGGGCTTGACCTTAAGGCCTGACTTGAGAGATCCGAGTTATCAGTTTTGCGTGACCCTTGGCTAATCTCTTATCTCTGTGTGCCTCAATTCTCTATCTACAGAAGGAGCTGTCTTACATTGTAAACTCTAACCATGCTTACTATGCACAAGGCCAGTAGGACCACTAGTGCAGTGCTGCCTTTGGTACTATTATAGTAATACATTCTACATTATTATTAAGGTAATTCCATAAAGATGTAATGTTAGGTGTTAAAACATACATGTATATATTATTAATATATAAAAGTATAAACAAAAAATGGACTTTCACAGTTCTGTGCTGGAGTCTGACATTATTTCACCCTAAATACTGCCCTGCGCACAGGCTGAGTTGAGTAGTC